TCAGCAAGAATAAATCAGAATGACCACCAGCCTATACTGTGATGATGTCACGTGCATACCATGCTAAATAGTAAATAGTTCAGCTTTCTGGTGAAATGCGATGTTCGCAACACTAGCAATGGATGTCCTAATTATGAAGTTGTGCAGTATTTATAGCAGTCTCGCGATGAGATATGGCAGCCTAGAGAAATGTTAGAGCGCATGAGTATTCTAGCATATAGTGCTGTAAAGTGGGGGCCCAGAACAAGTGCATGTAAAACCGAACATAACATTAGCCTCCGGAGGCAGTATTTCGCGAAGTTTCGAGCTCATGCAAGCTGATGAAATGTAATTTATACTGAGATTTTAAAAATCTTTGTCTGTCATTCGCGCTATTTATGTAAAATCGCGAATTTTATTGCGTGCATCTTTACACATCTCTTTTTTGCGGTAAGGCGTTCTGGAAGGGATTATTTGAAACAAATAACATTAATTATCTCTCTCTTTTTGAACATTTCGTGTATTTGACTTCCAATCCATCATGTGAGCATAGAGTACTTTTTAGCGTACCACCGATGTTTCACACTGCCAATCAGCAAACAGAAAAACACTTTTAAGCAGATTCCACAGCTCGCGTAGTTTCGAGTATCGTCCTTCCGCGTCGGTCTCAAGCAGCTATGTGAACTTTTTAAAGTAAAATTTCTTGATCAATATAAAATATATTTAATTACTAACTGAATTTTTGACAACATAAATAGAGGGCCGACCAACCTAAAGCACTGCCCCCCAAATTATTTGAAAGGTGTTCTGCCAATCTTTTCCGACGTTTTTATCCTCGACAGGCACGTTGTAAGTGATATGGGACGGCCTTACATACATTTCTGATTTTGAAGCTAATTTAAATAACTATGTGTTCCTCACACATGTAACTTCTCAAACAAATAGAAGTCTGCTATTGCCTCTTTTATGTGGTGAACATGACTTTTATGTGTCTGTGGGCTCGACAAAAACAAAGTAAACAGGGGCGCGCGGCGGAACTATGACGTACGTACGCAAACCGTCAGAAGGTGCCCAATTAAGTAGCTGCCATGTCGAGTAGAACGTGAAATACAACTTCGTTTTACTTAACAAAAAAGAATCTTGAAGGACGCTTAAGCTTCGCCTTTAAAAGTGGAACGCGATAGTGTCGATGGGCCTCGTTTGCATCGCATTCTCATTTTCCTCGCTAGCGTGCCTCGCGTGGCCTAGTGAAAAAGCGTCTCACTGGGTCGTGGGTTCGAATCCCGCCTACAATTTTTTATTTTTTTTTTCAAGGCAAAGGAATTACTTCTAAAAGTGAAATCCTTTGAAACATAAGGCGATCTTTAATTCGCATTACACGTCATGTTTTAATCACTCTTCAATCCACGCGTGATGTCACGTTTCACGTAAGCATTGTGAGTTGTTGAAAATTCTTGCGCGAGGGTATGTAGCTCTGACGTCATCAACCTATCTACTAATCAGGAATTTTCAGTCACGCCGCCGACATCGGCTTTTCTGCGACATGAGCTCCTTAAGGCTATCGTGTTAAAATCATCAATTAGCAAGGGCGATGCTCATTTACAAATTAAATTGTCCGGCATCTTGTCAAGAACAAACCTCAACGGCCAGGCTATACCAGCTTATTCTGTATAAGAAAATGTTCAGTTGGGCAAGCGCCATTTTGGGCCAGATTCGATCTGAGTGCGAAGGTGCGTGTATATTAGAGTGAACGATTGCGAGTACTTCTTGCTGCATGATTAGTCGCATGCATGCGGTGCTGAGTGTAAACAATGTTTGGTTAGAACAGCAGGCATCTGGATTGCTGCTCGGTGTTTCTGTAAAAAAGTAGACTGAAAAGAATTATCCTAAAACTTTCGTTACATTTCGAAAATTCCATTGCTTTTAGCTCAGGTGGGTCGTCATCATATACATATATATTGTGAAGTGTATTTCGTAAACATTATTTCATGATATATATGGCCACGAGGTGCTCATTTCATAATTTTATGTGATGTAATTATTTCCTTAGTTCAAGGACACGATTTCACTTTTAATAATGCGACACAAAGTTGTACCAATCACGGGTGCTTTAGGCGACCTACCACACTTCACGACAACATTTTATACCGCGTAAATAGATCAGCTTGAACTTTAGAGTTTTATTTAAACACGAAGAAAGGACAGGAAAATACAGTATAGTTCTAAATTAGAAGCTGATCTATTTACATGTCTGCACTAACAACTCAACTCTTTACTCTTGTACTTAAACATTCTAATTCAGGTAAAATATATCTTACTGGTAAACAAAGGGATGTTGAGTCGTATGAACACGGCGTTATGTATGTTAATGTCGATTTTCTTCTGCTTTTGCGTCGAAATTAAATAACTGAATTTTATATTTCTAGTACCTAAAACAAAAGTAAATTGCACGGACGATTAAAGAAACTATATGGTTAATCGTTTCACTGCGTAAATAGTGTATATTGCCAGAACAACGCGGACAATATATTCTCAATTTAGCAGTACAAACCGGTTCGAACCGGTTCGAACCGGTTTGAACCGTTATTTTTTGCTCCCCGGAACTGAACCGGAACCGAACCGAAAGCCGTGAACCCGAACCGGAACCGAACCGATAAATATTTTGGTTCGACACCCTGGTATCAGCTCTTCAAAAAAGGCATCCCTCACGAGAATTAAAGCGATGTTTCGAAAATGTCCCCAATATCTCATTACGTTTCCAGGAGCAGTATGCTTGATCTATCTTGCTCGAAGCTTTTTTTCAAAGAAAAGAATGTCAAATCTGACAGACGCTAACGATTTCGGATACAACAACAAATTTTATTGAGCGCTTCGAAAACAGAACAGAAAGAGCGAGATATAAATTCAATGACTGTAATCACGAGACTGTCTTCAATAGAAACTGAAAGCAAAGAACAAAGGCTAAAACGCTTTTCGTTTAATGCGCTATTTTATTAGGTTTTAACACCTTGTCGGGTCTTCCGGCCGCTATTTCAAAGATGTTCTCCTGAGTCAGCGAAGGCGCGCTTTCGGTTTCCCTGAAATTAGAGAGCAAATTAAGCACGTTGGTTTCATCTGAGCGCGTGTGCAATGTTAAGAGCGCCGGCGGTACGCATCGGCAGCACGCACAGATTCACATTTGTGCCCAAGCAGCAAAGTAATTAACGGTTTCAGTTGAGCTAGTTCTTACATGAACAACGATGATGGTCAAACAACTTGAACATTAAAGGATTACGGAGAAACAGTATAAGAATCACACACAAAGCTGCAATAATGCTGGGGAAACAACTTGAACATTAAACGATTACACAGACACAAAAAATACACGATTACACAGATACGAAACAATCACTGAATGCCCAAGTGGCGCGTTGCAGTCGTACTGATGTTAATGATTGCGCCTTGGCCCATTAACATATTAATATATTCACTCAAAATTCACGTCGTCGCATTCACAGTAAGCTATGTCTCGAGTCTCATGACGGCAGCTATCGCAATTCACGGACAACCAACAATAGTGGTTTCTGCGGCCAAATTTTGTCGTGCTTAGCATGTGAAGAATTAAATATACAAGCTTTACGAGCGTAAAAGTTTGAAGCGCCTAGGAAACATTTTGCTACATACTAAATATAACGCAGGGGTTCGGGGTTTTAGAAATCTCATATAAAAGCACTGTGGTTCAGACGTTTTGAACATAGGATACAACTCATATCCTTATGTGATATATTTCGGAGTACCACAAGGGTCGATCCTTAGGACATTTGCTTTTTAATATTTTTATAAACAGTCTTGCAGATTGTATCAGTAATTTAAAAACGCTACAGTTCGCTGATGACGTGAAACTCTATCGTAGTATCAGCAAGCCTGCTGACTGTGACCTGTTTCACAACGATGTTGATGCGATTCGGCTGTGGTGTTGTACAAGCTTGCTCCTTTCAAGCCCCTTCCAAAGCTAAGGCTGTATCTTTCTCCCTTAAGGAATATGCTGTCGTTCATTCGTTAAAATTACGTGGCTCAAATATTGAAGATGTTCTGTGGTACGCGACCTTAGTGATTTGATTGACTCACAGCCCGATTTTAATTGCCATGTTTCAAAATTCACCAATTATTAATTACACATCATTGGCGTAATTGCACGCATTACCCGTAGATTCCGCAGTTTCACCTGCATACTGCACCTATTCGGGTCGTTAGTTTTTTCAATGTTGAAGTTCTCCTGTACTGTGTGGAATACCCTGGGACTCATTCGAATGGCAAGGCTAGAGTGCGTACACCGACGAATCCTAAGAATTATGAATGATCGCAACAATGGACCTAGAGTTTTTTATGAATACGTACGTCAATGGGAGACACTTGTTATTTCGTCTCTTCGCGACATGTTATTTTTTAAATATAAACTGCTCAACGCTGATATTGATTCTCCCGTCTTAAGCAATAGAATCTCACTTCATCTTCTCCAGCGACAAAATCGGTCTGGGGTTTCTGTTTACCCTTTTAAACTAAACTCTATTCCACCGTTGACTCGGATCTAGACCAGCTATGAAAAGTGCTTTAAACCTGACCTGCACTTTTTTCACTACCCTTGCATGTTTAAAGAAGTGTGATACTGAGTCGCACATCGCAAGTGTAACCCTCCTAAAGCCTTAGCAGCTGTGTGGGACACAATAAAACACACACGTATATATATATATATACCTGTGTTAATATATACATAATACAGTCAATTGGTCTAATACAACCAGGAACATATATGTAATTGAAAAGAAAATAATTTGGTCGAGCAATTCATTACACAAGTATTTTTTTAGGATACAAACAGGCTTCTTACAGAGGAGTAAATGCTGGTGAAGATCACGCAGCACACATTCACTACAAGACCGTTAGATTGCGTGATGCAATGCACAATAAACGAATAACAGGCTGCTCGTATGACGGATAGGGTTTTGTTTATCTCGCAACATTGGTTGGTGAGAGTTACCGAATCATTGGCGAGCAGACTTTGAGTTCTTCGGTGACCTCGGCTTGTTTTTACCTGCGCGAGAATACAAATGTCACTCAGCGTAAACCGCGTCTGTTTTTCTTTTTCTTTTTATTCCTTGATTTGTACTAAAGAAACGCAAATTAGACATGATTGTTTGGGGACCGATGAGAGCGACCCTTGAAATAATCTTACCATCTATCTTTTTAAGATGCCAGTAGGAGATGCTAGTCATTAGAAGCTTCCTATAGCCTGCAGAATGCACAGCTTGGTACCAAAGTCTGATTTGGCCATATTTATCATTAAGTGCACTTAAAGAGTAGTAGCAAGAAGAGCTTTGACGTTAGGCAAACAATATTCATGGTGAGCAAGGGTAAAATCGTTATTTCATATGCCATACACAATAATATTTTAATGATATGCTCAAATATTTCACATTCTAACGATTGCGATTTTCGCCTTCTTTTCTCATATTATAACCATGTTACTCCACTATACACTCTAAGAAATGCCTTAACGTCCACTTACCCGCACAACACTCGAAGAGCATATCTCTGCGATCTACAAGATCAGCTGAGTGAATGATGAGGCGGAACCTCCGTCAATACCTAAATCTTAAGTCTCCGCTGTGGCATTACGCAATGCAAGCAGGAATGCAATGCGTTGCGTAATGTCACAGCAGAGACTTCATTTCTAGGTCTGAACAGATGTTCCGCCTCATCATTCGCTGACCTGATTTCCTACATCGCAATGATTGGCTCTTTGAGTGTTTTAAGGGGAAGTAGACGCGCAGCAATTTTGCAGGGTGTACAAGGAGGCTCACGATGTAGTGCTATACTGATATAGCAAGAAATGTACAGCCTAATACAGCAATTATAATTTTCAAGACTGCGCTTAGTTATCTGATACAATAGTGCTTCTTTAAAACAGACTGTGTAGTGGCAGTTCTAAGATACAGGTAAGCGTAATACTTGTTTAATACGTGACACGTCACAAACCTCCGTAGCAAAACAACTGCGTGGACTGCGGCCCGTCTTAAATGGAAAAAAAGAAAAGAATATGCGCAAAACTTACCGTAAGGACAGGCATCCTTGCAGGAACGTAGGGACTCAAAGTCATTGAGACCCCCTCCACATCCAGTGTATTTCTCGCATTGGTGGGTGCGGTCGTTAAAGTAGAATATTGATTTAATCGGGGCATCAGGGGCGCAGACTGGCTCAGGGTGTGGTGCTCTGCAGATTTTCTCTGCACGGAAATTCGGTGATATATTGAATATGAATAAAATCATTATATATAACAATTTAAGAAAGGCGCACTAACGAAAAATGGTTTCGACCTGAGATCAACTCTGCCCTGATAGGTTATGTCGAGCACGGGGAAATGAATTTGTCTGCGAATAGGGAAAAAACACTCTACTTTCGACCGGCAAACAGTTTCTGTTGTTTTCGGATCTTTGCCTTTACGTAAATTCTAATACGATTTACGAGTGTTTTACCATGTTATCACACAGCGCTGATTGAATTTCCTTTAATAGAACCATTTATAAAAAAAAATACTGCAAGTTTTATATTTTGTAAAATCTCTCCATTAAATGCGCTCACGAGAACACCGTTTAAAAAATTAGGTGGCATTGAAAAAAAAAATAAAACGCCCCCACTCCCTCCCGCCCCCCCAAAAAAAAATATCAACAAAAATCGCAGCTGTTAAGATATAATATTATTAACTTTTTGTGATTCCTTTTTGGTCTCGCGTTAGTTTTTGCCTTCTGGGGGTACCGAGGGGTTGTCAGTCTGCATAAAAGCAGTTTTTTGCATTGGTTACATTCTTCCTCATGATAAAATAAACAGTGTTTCATATGTTTCAAACTAGTGAAGCAGTTACTGGGGCCGATGGCAGTTAGTATCCTCGAATATGCATTATAAACCTGAAAATTTACTTTGTTTCCAACACTTCCTTTCCGACCAAGCTACGTTGCATTTAAGAATCCGGTTCTCACAGAAAGACCAAGCAACTAAATCTGGCGGCTCAGGTATACGAAATTTTTTCGTTGGTTTACGTTGATTCGGTACAAAGCAATAGAGCTCGATGTAAGAGCTCGGCAATTGTGATGCAGATTGCGATCCTAAGCAAAATATCTTAGAGCTGGAGAGTCGTAAAAATGCAACGACTTCGGTAACAGACTTACCAGGCAGCACCGCAATAGTGCACACCACTGTAGCTAGGAAGCAAACGGCTGCAAAGGTTGCCTTCATCTTGGACGGTAGATGTCGATGATGTAGTTACAGATCTCGGAGTGGGTTTATATAGTGCTTCACCGGTGTAAAGAAAGCATTTTTTTTATCGATTTCTTTTTGTAGAAAATGACACGGCCTGTCACACGCATTGTTCTCAAAGTCCGGGACAACGAGCTAATAAGAACAATTGAATTTCGCTCTGTCTATGAGAGATGTTCAAAAAATATTTGCGTCAAAAGCTGCGGAAATTTTATCCCTGCTGCCGGGAGGCCATTATTCTTTTTTTTATATTCTTTTCTGAACAGTGGTATAAGATTTTGAAGTGTAACATATGGAAAGCCTCAAGAATGAGAGGAAGTTAAACACAATTCTAATGAAAGCAATTTTCCTTGAGCCACTATACCAGTGGTACCAAACTCTTTTGTGGGTGGGGCCCAGATGGCCCGCACCGAATAGGTCGAGGGCCGACGTAAGACGGGAGGGGGAGGGGCCGGGGGGGGGAGCTTATAACATTTTAAACAGAATAGACCTCGTGCTCCATGCATTTTATAAACTTACAGTTCTCCCAGCGACATCTTGAGATTTGATTTGACTACTTTGGACCGGGACCTGATGTGATGACAAGTATTAAAATGACACCACCCGTCAACCTGTTTCCATTTTTAATAAGGTAAGAGAGCAACTACACTGTCGTTCCAGTTGCTCAATTCTGGACTAACGGTCTTCACATTCCAAAGTTGTGAAAGGACGGATTGCTGTCGCGTGTCTTTCTTCGGCTCTTAAGAAGTTGTTTTTTCACATGTCGGATGACAGTTTCCGGGAGCAGGGAGGGAGGCTAATGATGTCGGGTTTTCGAGTTAGCCTTTTGACGAAGGTAGCAAGTTCCTTTTTGAAGAAGGCCAAAAGTGTGGAGAAGGCTAAAGGGAAAATTGACGGAAAACGCATGGTAATCGCTCTGTACCTATATCGGGTCTCTCATCACCTGAAGGAAGTAGGAGGGAGGGTCGGCATATCAGTAGTGTTCTCGGTGCCTCAAAAATTGAGGCAATTGTGTTCTAGGGTTGGTGACGGGTCTAGTCGCCAAAAAGGCTTCCGTACTACAGCGGACTGAGAACGGTGTGTGACGTGTGTTTCGCCCGTTTTTTTACGAAATCCCCATATCGTCTAATATGTGTTAAGTGGGGCAGACGGGGAGATGTCTCAGTAACATGCTTAGAGAGCATTCCTATTCACTGGGGGCCACTTTTGGGGCATATTAAGCAACACATTGCAGTACAGGGTGTAAAAAAAAATTAAACTTTTTTTTTTTTTTACCACAAAAATAAACTAGGCATTGTCGAACGCTCATTCTGCGCATAAAAGTAGCCCTAGAGGTAACAACCAGATGCCAGAGTTTCAGCCCGAACGGACACCTTATTGAAAAGTTATAACTGATTTTCTGAAAATTTCAATGGGAAAATGGCGCCCGACGGAGTTTTTGAATACATGCATGGGCTCAATGGCACCAGAAACCGAAAACGGGCAAAAATGGGCTCCATTTTTCTATTGAAATTTTCAGAAAATAATTAGTAATTTTTGAATAAGGCACTGTGTGGGGCTGAAACTTTGACATCTGGTTGTGGCCTCTAGCGCTACCTTAGGGCGGAGAATGAGCGTTCGGTGATTCCTAGTTTATTTTTGTGGTAAAAAAAAAAACAAAAAAAAAACCTGTAATTTTTTTTTATGACACCTTGTAGATGCGATTGGGTGCCGGATTTCCGTAAAGTTGATGTCCTGGCCAGACGCAGCGAAAAGCAACAAGAAATTATAAAAGCATTTTTTATTTTCATTTGTGGGATCTATGTGTCAGCGCTCCGTCGGTGGCTTTGTCAGATAAAGAGGTTTGCCTTCTGCAAGCAATTATGAAAAGTGGTTTTGAGGATACTCAGCGCTTATGATACTGTCGTGCTTGATAGATGAGTAGGTGGTGATTTTTGGTGTCTGTTATTTGTTTTGCATATGTGCTTTCCTTTAAGCTTTTTTACTAATAAAGCTTCAGTTCCAAGCACAGCTTCGTCCTGTAGAGTTTTTTCCTTCTCGTCGTCTTTGTTTTTGACTTTTTTTTATCATCTTCTTTGTTCACATCCAGGTGCAGTGTAAACAGTCATTGTTGCGTTGTACCTTCCGAGGATTCTTTACGCTCTGCTAGACGGACGTTGCTCCCTTTCATGTATATTTTTGATGATTTTTTTCATTATAATTTGCATCGGCATGACGCAAAATTATGAATACAAAGAAAGTGTTTTCAGCGATTGTCAAGCTTCTTTACATGTAATACTATTGTGTTATCCTGGAAGAATGGTGGCTGTTTTCGCGTGAATGTCAACCCAAGTTGAACGAGCCTTTACAATACGTGAATTCGCTAGGCTCAGTTGTTTATTACAGTATGTTCCCGTTACAATATTCTTTTCGGAGGACAGCAGCACAGCAATTTTAATCTTTCTCTCAGAATCTAAGACTAAGGTCATTAGATTCTGGGAAATATAGCGGCCTTACCTTCCTTGGCAGATAGTCGGACACAATCAAATACTAACATACAGAAAACTAAACCACGCCAGCTGATTGACTGGTTTCTCTTTGCTTTAACAATCGCCATCGGGGTCCGTTTAAACCTGCGAAGCTTGGAAAGGGTCGTTCTGATCGGGTCCAAGTTCGCTTTTGAGCATCATCGTCTTGAAAGCTCTCATCGCCAAGATAAGCGTCTTTGGCACTATGTATGCAATCAAGTTATCTATAAGGCATATCTCTGCAGATATCTCAAAATTATATTGCTCTTTTTATGTCTTTCAATACAAATGTTTTTTTAATGTCTCCAACCACCGCTTGAAGGCATTGAAACTTCTCTACAAAGCTGCCCGTCACCAGCGAATTTAAATCGGATCACCAAGAATGGTGAGGTCAATGAAAAACTGCTCATTCCATGAACCGAAATAGCGACATTGAGGAGAGCTTGGCGCATTTTTCCCAGGATCCAGTGTCTTTATCTACGACAGCTGAACACAACGAAAGTACACACACGCGCATCCGTGCACAGACACGCATGGTCACGCGTGGACACACACGCTCACAGACGCGTGCATGCGCACGTACATACATACACGCGAACACGCAGATGCACGTGGAGCGTCATGCGCGCACCAACGAACAGATACACTAGTGATGCAAACTATCGACAGTGGTATGGATACTATCGATAGTGGAAGCCAAATATAACTTTGTATAGTGAAAAGCTATCGATAGTGCTATCGATCGTCGACTACATTGAAACCAGGGTGTCGAACCGAAATGTTTTTTGTTCCGGTTTTCGTTCCGGTTCAGAGAAAACGGTTCAGCTCCGGTTCAACTCCGGAGTGAAAGAATAAAGGTTCAAACCGGTTTGAACCGGTTCGTACTCATATGCTACGTAAACAAATGACTACAGCAAAAGATAAACTATGCATATTTTATAAAATTGAGACATAGAGAAAGCAAAGGCTCACATTACGGTGTGGAACGAACGAGCTAGTGCTGCGGCACCGTGGGATGTGGGTGAAAGCGCAGTTCAATGTCAGGCAGCTGAGCAAAGAATGCATATCCGGGGAAAGACGGCACTTTTGAGACGATAGAATGAACTTCAGTGACGAAAAAGCTCGCTCTACGCTGACCTGGGTCGCAGGCACTCCAAGGGCTACTTGCGCCAATGGGTAGAGTTCTGGATGGCGTTCCCTTCTCTCTTCCCAAAACTGTAACACGTTAGCGTCCCCTAATTAAAAGCCGCGGCTCCTTGTCTAGCAATGCTCAGAAGAGCGGTGCGCCTTGATGTTTGTGTTTCTGAGGAGAAAACGTTTTGGTCTTTGCAGTCTCTGCTACCAGAGATCGAAGCTGTTTTTCTGTTTTCTGTAGCTGTAACTGTTAATTGGGTCCCCCCTCCTCTTCCCGGTGCTAGGCTTTAATTTCAAACAGATTATAAAATCCGCTGAGTTTTTTTGAAAGCAGATTAGATGCGCCCTAGTATGGCAACTAGTGCAGGTTCTAAAATATCCATCGGCTTTTGTATCGCTTTTAATATCCGATCAGTTGTACAATAAAATTAAGGCGTAAGTAAATTGCACACAGCTTTAAAAAAAATGAAGACAAGAAACACCAAACAGGTTTAAACTGAATGTCAAAGAAAAAAAAAGAAGAAACAAAAACAAAGAGTGGTATAGACAACACTAGGCGTGGTGTCCATATCTCTTTTTGTCCATTTTTTTTTTTTTTTTGCACTTAGTCCGAAATGAAAAGCGAACTAGCCCAACTCGCCGTTTTGCTACCAAACAGGCTCAATAATTGGTCACTTTTGCTGACGTACAAATTGGGTATGTCCTGGTGTTATATTTTCTTTGATACGTCACTTCCGGTCCCCGAGAAATGGTTGGGACGAATGTGGGCACTAGTTAAAGAAATACGTAAGAGCAGAAATCCAGTAGAATTTATAGTTACCATGTTCATTTCGTTTGAGTTTTCGAGACGAATTTTATAAATTATGAAGACGAGCGTTATGTGAAAAGCTTGATAATGGAACGTTAAAGAGCTTTGCGCTTCTTGCGCTTTTTGACTTCCCACATGAGCAAAACACCGCAAAAAGAATAGATCAGTTTTGCCCAAGAACGAAAAAAAAAAAAACAATTATTTCGGTCCAATTCAACTCCGCGAATTGCTAGAAAACATTTCTTTCTTTTATTTTTTGTTTACTTTTCAGGTTACTGTGTTTTTCGCCACGCATTTCTTACGCAACCTGAGTTCGCGTATCAACCGAAAACCGCATGGAAATCTTGCTCTCCAATGCACAACATCGATTCTACTATCGATAGTATAGTATAGTAAAACTATCGATAGTCGATTATCATGAAAGCCGATAGCATAGTATCGCTAGTCGACTATCGTGGAACTGTTTATTGTGAAATATCAAGAAACTATCGATATTCAACAATCGTAATGCTCTTGATGGGGTCTTATTA